TTGCAATGAAGGGACTGAGAAGGTTACAGTTCCAGTTTTATGTCCCTTGTGGTTCGACAGAATCTTTGGATATCAATCAGCAGACGTTGGACACTTTAGAGTTTGAGTTTGGTACAGTACCGTTGAAGTTTGGTTTTATGGTCTACACTGAAAAATACATCTCGGTCAATTTTAGAAGTCACAAGTAATGCCGCTTTGCCACAATCACCAGCGGTGCCCCAGTATTCAATGGTTATGGACAGACTAATGAGAGATATTAAGCCTCCACAAAAGTATGGGAAAGCTAATTTAGTTGATTATACTTTAGATGTAATCAAATGTATTGAGTCTAACAAAAAAAAAACCGTCACAGAAGCAAATAGTTGTGTTGATTCTATTACATGGTATGTTTTTGCCCTGTTTGATAATTATTATTGAGATTTTTTGATTTAGTTGCTCGTAGTGATAATTTGAGCAATTTTGGTGCCCAAGATAATCGTGCTAAGTAGTGCTTAGATTCACTTGATATTCAATTAGTAAGTTTGTCCTAGTTGGAATTTGTGGAATATGTGGAGAATTTTTGTTGAAAAGCTAAGTTTTATTCCTTGAAGTGGAATTCGTCTTCAGGTGGGAAATTTTTGAAACTTTATTTATTATAGTGAAATTTGTGTCAAAGTGGAGATTTGTTGAAGAGTGACATAAATTTCATCTTGCATTGATGGATAGGTTGAAAGAGGAAGTCAAAATATGGATAAAGGTGAATTTGGAGAAGAGACGAGGTGCTTAGGCGTCATTTCAAGAAAATGAACGAAATTAATTCAGAGATGAAACGCGTCACTCACTTGCCGCAAGCTTGGGCGCTCAAGTGTCGTGTGCAGTTCGCTACACACCAGGGCGCCGCTTGAGCACTAATACCATCCAGTCCACGACCTATTCCGTGTATTGATGAATTTTGGAATGTTCTTTCCATTTAAAACATTAATGATGGCATGACATGTACTCTATATATATAGTGGCTCTTCATTTTGATTTAGAACAAGTTTTAAGTACAAGATCTTATATTCTCTCATCTTATATTAAATTCTCATCTTCTGCTCGTGGTATTTTTCACGTAATCTTAGTGTTCTTGATCGTTATTTTCAACTTGTCATATTACTCTCATTTATTGAATCTAAAAAGCGGAATCAAAGTAAATTGGTATTGCCTTCTTTCATAACATGATAGCCACATTCAAGTCAAATAACCAGTTGTATGTCTGTTGATTGATCATTTTCGACGAAAGAACTGCGCTTCATTCACCATGCCCTTTGGCGTTATACATATATGTAATCATAAAACTTGCGCTTTGTTGTTGCTTCATCGGTGCAAATTGGGAGAATAATAAGTGTTTTCTCATGGCTTGATGGGTCTATTCTTTTATGTTTGATGGTAGCCATAAATTTCTCAAGAAAGCCCAAATGGGGGCCATTGGGCTTGAGAAGAGTGGGATAAGGTTCATTTGGATCGTGTAGCCCTCGATGGCCCAACCAATGGCAGGCAATTATGGATCAATCTGATGGTTCGATTATTGAATGGGTGATAGATGTTTCATTTTAGAGGAATTGGTAGGGCTGTCCGTAGGTCGGTTCGATTCGATTCTGAAGAGAACCGAATCAACCCAAAACTTTCGGGTATTTAATAAATGGAACCGTTGGGTCCAAATATAATTATGGAACCGTTCGGTTCCGTACCATAATTAAATTTTTTAATATTTATAGCAACATTACATAAATACAACTAATGTCATTTCATTCGTAACTTTTACAAATTAATATAACTCAATTCAAAAACATATAAATAACTAGTCGTCCAATAATATTAATTCAATGCATACAAATACCAAACAGTAGATATTAATATTACAGCAACACTACATAAAGTATATTCATTTGCTTCAAATTAAAATGGGCTAATGGGTTTTAAAAATAATTTGGGCTTTAAAATTAAAATTATGAAATAATCTGATTTATTTAATTAATT